GAACTGTATTAAACTAATTTTTGGTGGATTTTTTATGAATTTTAAATAAATCGCGAAATTCATGAAAATTTTGGGCCACGAAAGATTTTAGCTATAAAGTATTTACAAAACAACGACATTAAGCATAGATAAAATAGGAATGACCTCGGGCTACGTGAGCCCCAGGTTGTAATAACTTTATGTAAATGTGTATTAAGTATCATGTGTATCATATTTCATAAGTAAATCAAAAATATTCTTAAAGCTTGGCCTCTTGTCTTTATTTTGTTTCCAGCAGTTTAGCATCAGTTGTTTAAACGGTTCAGGACAACCTTGGGGTAGGAGCATATGATAACCTTTTGACACTGCCTCCTTTACATCTTCATCAGTCATGCCAGAATACGGTTCCTTTCCTTTAGTAACCAGTTCCCATAGTAATATACCAAATGACCAAACATCAGATTTAATACTCAGTTGGTTTAAAGTATATGCTTCAGGTGCTGTCCATCTTATAGCTAGCTTAGTTCCTTCTACCGTCGAGTATTTACTACCATTGAGGTGTTGAGCAAGATGAAAGTTTGCTATCTTGACAGTGTTATGATCTCTTAATAGTATATTCTCTGCTCTTAGATCACAATGAATGTAACCTTGTTCTCCTAGATACATCATACCTTTAGTAACTTGAATAGCAATATCTACCAACTCTGCTGATGTAACTAGATATTTTGTAGTTAGGTAATCTTTGAGGTTTCCATTCATTGGCTCTGTTACAATATAAAAAGGATAGTCTTCAATGCAAACACCATATAGACTGATGATGTTCTTATGGTAGAATTTTACTAATATTTTGGCCTCCTCAATAAATGTTTCTTGTGTAATATCTGTTGCTATATTTGTCTTAATCATAACTGGCCCTTTACCTTTACAATTACCCTTCCATGTCTCTCCAAACCGTCCAGCATTTATGCATTGTTCAAACTTGATTGATGACTTATTAATTTTCCACTCTTCATTCTTTGCAATGGGTATGCTTACTTGTTTGAATATAGGAACTGTTAGTGAGCAGGGCAGACCATCAGCTTTCATCATGTAGTAATGTACCAGGTCATTGAGTGAGTCAAACTGGACACGAGGGTTCATATAATACTTATTCTTCTGAATGTACATGTATATACGGTAATGCGTGATAGCAGCTCCATCATTAAGTGAGAGGGAATAATGCTGTCTAGGATTACTTTCACTATGTCTAATTAGAAAAGTACCTGCTTGAGTGTCTGCTTGACTCAGTCTCTCCTCTGCTTCATCACGACTCACTGTATGATAGTAGATGTACTTGTAGTACCTATTGTTAATAAATAAAGAATCTTTCAATGCGGCTTTGTTATAGTTTTAATTTCTTACATTGGTGAGTATTTCCCTTCAATTGGTAATATATAATTAATTGGTACATATCCTTCTTTGTCTGTACGAAGTGAATACATATACCACCATTCATCATCATCATCATATTTAACAACTTCAAGCACTTCTCCTATAAAAGTAGATTATTATGTATTGTATTATTGTTCCAAAACCTTTCTTTAAAGTTAAGTCATGTGGCCTTAGTCCTTCAAAATTATAACTAGCCATAAATACTGTATAAAGAACAAATTTTATTAAATAAGCACACGCCATACATGCTTATTTACATTTATCCTTTGTGATTAATTTCCTCAATGATTGTAGTAGAGTAGGATCATTAGTAATTTTTAGTATAAAAGACTCTGCTTTTTTATCATCATCAAGGATAACAGGCAGGAGGGATAATCCTCCCTTTGTTATTGTAAACTGAAACAAGTAAAGTAATTCTACTCTTGAGTATCCAATGTATTTCATTGGAACAGCACTCTTCTGTCCAGTCTCCAGTGATTGTACCTCATGTCCATTTGTACTTAACTGAAGTAGTTCATCCTTTTTGAATGAAATAACTGGGTCATTATAATCATCTTGAGCTTCACAGATAGATCCATTGGGTGAAAGCACTGTCTGTGTGGATTTCACTTCTCTATCTGTTGATGTTAATTTGATAAAATATTAATATAAATACTTACTGTAAAAATTTGAAATTTGTTTTTCAAGCAGCTGTACACTAATAGATGATATATTTTCCTGTAGTCCCTCAATCTCTTTTTTATTGTCTTGTAGTACTTCCTTTCGACCTGTTTTAAAGTACATGTATTATGTCATTAGAAGCTAATGAATCATGTATATACTTATTCTGATCCTTAGAGTAGATTGTAAATGTTCATTTTCACTCAGTAACATTTGTTTTTTTGTATTTGCAGCCTTTTCTCTTTCAAATTGTTTGACTTTAGGTTTAAAGTCTTTATAATTATAATTACAATAATGCAATAATAATTATTTATGCTATACCTGATGCCTGCATGCAACTATTGATGAATTCTAAAATTGTCAAAATGAATGCTTATATATAAGTTAATGTATTGTCCCTACCTTGTTTCTGTTTTAACTGTATAAATTGTGCTACTTGACTGTCAAGGAGACCGGCACATACATGTACATTCATTGATTTGATTTTATAATTAAAATAATTCCTCTCATACTTTCTTTGTCATTGTGGTATGGATTCAGCTTTATTACTTCTCCTTCACACATTTCAATTTCCTCTGCAACAATCTTTAATTCCTATTATACATTCATATAAAGTTTCAAAATAATTTGTTGGTATACTTTGTTTCTGATGGTCCTATCATAGACTGTGCAGTGTCCAATTTTCAATAGCATCAAAGCAAATTCTTCTTGCAGCACAGTAAGATTATCACGAGCCCTCAATTGCAAAGCATTCATTAGATGAGTAGCAGCACCACAAATGATAAT